TATCCAATATTTAGAGATATAGAATAAAATGTAAACCATTTGTTTGACATTAAGAAGAGGTAATTTTTGTAGATCCACTTCACTGGTTCCAGATTTCAGATATTTTATGCAGAGTATTTTTCTAGAGTGGAATTATGGTTTAGAATTTATTTTTGGTTGAGTCTTGCATATAGTCTGTTGGATTACTTTACCAATATTTATGTTAATCTCATTTTGCTTTCCTTCCAAAAACCATTTTATGCATGTTTAATGATTTTAATGATTTTTAGTGTATAAATTAAATAGGATTGATCTTTCTCAATCCATTTTGTTTCTATGGAAGCTCCAGCTGATATTGGGCTATGAGTGCATAGTTCTGCTTTACCACTAGATGTCAGTGTAATACTATAATTTTGTGCATAATCTTCCCATCAAAAAACTTAAATATAATAACTTGTTCCTCTATATTCAGTTTTGCCATAAAAGGATGGCTAACCTCTTATGTTTGCTAAAATACATTCATTTAGAAATTTTTGTACTTAATTCCCTTGGGCTTATCTGAAACTAGTTGCATTATTACCTCTAAAGTGATTGTGAATAGTAGATTATTTTACTTTATTTTTGTCGGTATTAATAACTGCATTTGTAAGTGTAACAGTACTGGAAAGTGTTTTACATTCCTGGGTATTAAAATCAAATTTGGAGAACTTTGTACACTGTATTTAGGTACTGATATAAAAAAAATATGTGATATGTTTGTAAGATCAATCATATTGTTGTGTTTTTAGAATTCTAAGTTGTTTCAGAACATCATAAAAGTAGAATTCTAAGGAAGAAGCAGGATTCTATTTAGAATACAATAACTGCCTTATATTTATTTTTATGTATTTATCTATATTCTACCTTTATTACTTTTACAAATAATGAAAGCGATGAACATATCCAACACACCTTCTTCCTCCTATTTTCCCCACAAAGGCAACCCTGTCAGGTGTGTTGGGTTGAGAGTGAATGACTGGCCCAAAGTCATCCTCCTGGCTTTCATGGCTAAGGTGGGACTTTACCTTAGAGCAGGGATGTCAAACTCTCGGCTTGCAGGTCGGATGCGTCACGTGCTGGCCCCACCCCCACCCGGTTTAGCAAAGGGGGAAAAAGTCCCGATAGTTTGACACCCCTGCCTTAGAGTCTCCCATTTTCTAGTCTGATGCTTTAACCACTAGACCAAACTGGCTCTTTCTTGCTTTCCATTTACCTCTGTTGTCATTGCAAAAAAAATGAGGAAAGTACAATACTATGTATTTGTACTTATGCATATATTTCAGATGTGTTGAAATCTCAGTAGTTTGAGTCCTCGTTTCTAGGTTTCAGAAAAATAATATTTCAAAACTGTTTTATAGTTGTAAATCAGAAGCTGTGTTTTTTTAGCAAAGTGAGGAAAGGGTTAAAAAGAATACTTTTCTTTTACTTCAGAGTTTGCTCCAATATTTGAATTGTATTTAGTGAGGCGTATGGGTGCTGCTCAAGAGGACAGAACAGCTAGCTACTGGTTGCAGAACCAGTATAGTCTTCCAGAATCTTGCTTTGCTTTGAGACAGGTTTGATTGTACAATTAAAAACTTGCTATTAAAAAACTTGCTATTCATATCTGATTTGAAGACACTACAAGCTGATTGCAATTTGAAGGACGTTTTATTTGCTTTGGAAGGACAGCTGTCCTATCTTTTGATAATCTGCTTCTGTTTAGTGGAACATAGGACCTAGTTATCTTCGAGACCGCCTTCTACCACCGACGACCTCCCATCGACCCATGTGCTCCCACAGAGAGGGCCTCCTCGGGGTGCCATCAGCCAAGCAATGCAGGCTGGTGACCCCCAGGGGGAGGGCCTTCTCTGTGGGGGCTCCCACCCTCTGGAATCAGCTGCCCCCAGAGATAAGGAGAATCCAAGACCTCCGTGCCTTCCGCCGTGCCCTTAAAACTTTCCTTTTCCAACAAGCCGGGCTGGCCTAACAAATTTTTTAAACGATTTTAAATTTGTTTGTCTTTTTAAATTTTGGGCCAAATTGAGATATTTCCTTTTAATCTGTTCTTAATGTATTTATTATGTGTTTTTATTTGGCTGTACACCACCCTGAGTCCCTAGGGAGAAGGGCGGTATATAAATTTGAAGTAAAATAAAAAAATAAAAAAAATAAAACATGACTGAGATCAAAGAGCCAAGGACGTTGCTCTCCTTTCGTTTGCTTATTACAAAAAACTTGCTTGTTTTCTCTATTCTTCCTTAAATTCCCTCATGACTTTTGTTTGTTTTGTTATTATTTACATTAAAACCAGTTGTTTTAGTTTTGCTTCCTGTGTATGAAATTATAAACCTTTTAGCATCTCTGCCTTCTTTGTAATCTCTTGGGGTTTTTTGCATTCTTCTAAAAGTCCACTGAAAATAAGTTCCTCTGCTTTTCCCTCATTAGTATAAAAATATTCATTAACAGCTATGTGGAATTGATACCTTGTGGATTCTGAATTTATTTGATTCTTAAGGAATAATTTGAATGCTAATGTGTTTAACTTTCAAGTTGAAACATACTTGGTTCTTTTGTGAGATGATGGGTTCTATTTCCTCACAGAAGACCGGCAGAGCTCCAGCTATCTGCTACAAATAGAGTAACTGCAGGAACTGCCATCCCTTCTTTATTGCCAAAAAACTTGATCAAACTAGCACAGGGTAGTGATTTGTGTTACACTGGAAAGATCCAGGCTCAAGTACTTAACTGTGCCTTGCAAACAATTGGCAACCAGTGCCAATACTAACACAAATGTCATTTTAAATTGCTTAATAGTATGTTGTGAGGCAACTTTAACATCTTTTCTCTAGAAGTTCTTTCTAGTTCTCTTTCTTTGTTGATAGGTTTGCATTTAAACTGTAAGCTTTAGAGCAGAGCTTGTCCTACCTTTTTGTAGATGGTAAGCTTTTTGGCACATAAGGCATCTATTTAATTTTCTTAGCAACAATATGGAAATGTTTTGCCATTGTTTTCTTCCAGATATTTTTCCAACTTTCCAATCTACCGTATAATCATGGGATTTCCTGATTGTTTTCCATAGAAGTATTTATCAAGTTAAAACCCTACTTGGCTTTTCAAATTCAGCCAAGGTGTAATAACATAGATGGCATAAACAGTATTTATCCCGAAAAACCTGATTGTCTAGTCCTCTTTCTGAAAATTAAATATTATGCCGTTTGATAGAAGAAAATTAGGTGTTCAGAATAAGGATTTAAAAGCCCCAGAAATTATTTTTATGTCTCTCAAGGAAATCAACTCCCGTTTCTTTCTTCCATATATAAATTCTTATTTACAAACTCATCTTTTTTATTTATTTGCTTTTAGTGTGTTTATCAGTCTGCATAACTCTGGGTGGTTCTTAAAATCTGCAATGAAGCAATAAAGTATTGGGAAGGAATAGATTTTCATGGTATGAAACATAGAAATTGATTCCTTCTTCATATCTTTTCAGACTGCAGTGAGGTAAAAAAAATTAGATAAATATGACAGAAGAAGAAAAGGACGATATTGAGAACCCAGGCTCCAAATTTGCCACATCTAGTTTAGTAAAAGAAAAAAATGATTTGCTTCTATAATTGAAATTAAATTGTTAACAGAAACAGATTCATATCCCATTACATAAACATGTTTTTGAAAACTATTCTCAGCCAAATCATTTTATGTATAAACAATGCCCAGTTTTGGATTATGGCTTAATTTTCTAACTAGTGGTTAAAAATCAAAAATACTATTTCAAGATGCCAAGTCTCTTCTACGATAACCAACTGACAAATAGGGGTGGGATTAGTGCAGAATTATAGAAATAAATGACTTGGATTACCTCTTTTTTATTTCGCAAAGAAGCGATACCATTATATAACAACCTTTTAGATCAGGGGTGTCAAACTCATGGCCCATGGGCCAGAGGCATCATGCACTGGCCATGCCCATCCCCGGTTTAGCGTGGAAGGGGGGAAAGTCATGATACGTCACGTGACAACAACATGATGACACAAGTTTGACTCCCCTGTTTTAGATGTTTATTTCTGCTTAAACTGCTTTCAAGAAGGCAAAAAAGAATATTCAGTTGATAAACAAAATAGAACTGATCGTCTCCTATGCATCGATTTATCTTTGTTTAGTTATTTCTAAGCTTACTTGTTTTTTTGCAGATGTTTCATTACCCAATCAGTGCTAGCACTGATGTTACCTAGTTTGCGTAATGAAATGTCTGCAAAAAAACAAGCAAGTTCAGAGAGCACGAAGGACCCTTCATGTCAACCCTGAGCTACAAATATTCTCCTTTACTAGTTATTTCCAACTTTTATATTATGTCTGTCTCCACTAGAAAAAAAAATAGAGACATTAGATATATATGAGTATTGTAAATTGACATGAAAGGGCTGCTGGAATACAGAAATCATGTTCAAAATGATGACTATGAAAAGAACTCTTTATTTACTAGGCAGTTGGGATGATGATTAAAATAAAGATTACTAATTGCATTAAAACTGCCATGATTTGATTTTCTTTAAAGGTTCTTTGTATGTGATCTATTTCTTCAGAATTTCAAATCCCCATTTTCTGTTAATGCTAAGAATCACATCAAAAATATCAATTTTTAATATGTCATTTTCATGGAAAATGTCCATTTTAAAATAGAACATTAAAGATTAATTATGGGATGAGGATTGTATTAAAAGAGCTTTGAGAAAGATTGTTTAGGAAGTTATCTAGTTCAAATCCCACCCTTAACCATGAAAACCAGTTTGGTGACTTTAGGCCTGTTATTCCCGCTCAGCCCAACTCGCCTCAGAAATTGCTATTGTGGAGAAAATAGGCAGGAGTATTAGGTATGTTACTACTTTGTTTATTACACACATGCACACAAGGGTAAAAAAGTCTAATAATAATAATAAAGAAGCCTGTTGCATATTCACTATTTCAGATATCTTAAATTTTGTCTTGTATTTCCCATCTAGGTTTGTAAGAGAATGGATTTAGTCTGTCAGAGAATGCTAAACCAGGGATTTCTGAAAGTGGAAAGATACCATAACTTGTGCCAGAAACAGGTTAAAGCACAACTTCCAAGGTATGTGATCAACAAAACTGAAGGTCAGAGATAATGCAATCTAAAAATCTGTATGTATAGATGACATTCAAGAAAAATGTCCATACACAATCATATAGACAAATATTTAACAGATGAAATTATTTCCATCTTGTGGCAGAACCATTGTTATCACATGTAAACAGAATAGCAGGGAGAGGTACCACTTGCCTCTTTTGTGTGTGCCGAATGATTTGATGCTTGGCATTCTGAGCTTGGAATGTTTTGAAAGTGAACATCATTTTCTCCCTCTGTTCAGCCGAGATTGCTGCATTCTGCTTCAGAGTCCGTTCTTTAGTGATGACATTGCACATAATAAGCTATAATACAATTGTAAATGGTCCTGATTTTGAAGGTCTTTATAGAGATTCAGATTTCATCATTCCCAGAGTTATTGGTTTGTTCATTATTTCATTAACCAAGGTTCATTATTTCATTAAAGGCTTTCTGAGAAAAGAAAATGACAAACATTTTGAAAAAAGATAAGCAGCATAAATGCACTTCTTAAATAAATAATACAGGAAAGATATAAAATGTAAAATTCACACATCCCGGAATAGAATAGACATTTAAACTAAGCATAAATTATAGCAATGCCAAAAGGTTGTTAGTATGGGCACTAGGCATGCCACCCAGAAGTGCTCCTAAGTACAATTGCTATCTGTGTCTCCAGTGACATGATTGGTTCCAGAACCATATGGGGTAGTTCAAAAGTGCAATCCCCCCGCCCCCCCCCGATCAAATTGAGGACCATGTGTCCAAGGCAGACTATTTGTAGTGCTTAAGAGTAGGAGTAATTTTACTGATAGAGATTAACTTCAAAGTAATAATTTTTTGACTCTGAAAGTAATTAGGAACAGCCTGCCTCTGTAATTAGGAACAGCCTGTGGGTACTCATGAGTATTTGTCAAAAGTGACCTGAACATTCTTGCCCTGGTCAGGGGGCGGGACTAGAAGAGCTGCAAGATCTTTTCTAGCCCTTTGATTCTGTGATGGCTGGTGCACATTTATGAGGTGGTTGTTTGTACTGCTGCTATTGTTACTGTGCTGCTGCTGCTGCTGCTGCTGCTGCTGCTGCTGCTGCTACTACTACTTTTAAACCTTATATGCCACCTGACTAACAATGACTCTGGGTGGATCAAAACAAACAAACAAACAAATCAATAAAGATAAAAACAAAAGAAGGCAAGTGGGAACCTTGAGGGAAGCAAGGGGTCCCACTCTCACCAAACAGTTGGGTGAACAGCCAGATCTTTATGGCTCTTCTAAACAATATCCATATCTTGGGAGGAACCTTGTTCCAGAGGACAGGTGCTGCTACAGAAAAGACATACTTCTGGTGTCCCAATGGGTGATGTTTCCTCAAAGGAACCCAAAGCGTGCCAACCCTGCAGGATCAAACCAGCCTGGCAGGTGCTATGGGAGACAGGCACTTAAGTGACCAGGCCCTGTACTCGGAGGGCTTTATAGCTTAATACTTTATAACAACTTACTAGTGGGAATCTGATCCCAAAGTACACTCTTAGATTTAAAAACTTCATATAATAATAGCTTCCTTTTTGTATAAAAAACATCCAGTATGCCATAGTATTTCTTTTTAAAATATGATTTGTATTCAGAGGCCTGATGTTGCAGTGTTTTGCTTGGGTGTCTAGTTCCCAGTCTCCTGTCTGCTTTTTCAGTTTTCTCCTCTTCTTGATTTATTGTTGTCAAGATCTATCAAAGCTCTTTCAATATATGTCTCCCTTTCTTCATTTACATGTAATTATCCATATTCTACTCAGTCTCCACAAAGCAATGTATGATGTAACAAACATAAAATGAATTTTAAACAGCATCATTAAAATATACTAACACTAGAAATACAGATAATTCTCGACTTACAACCCCAATTGAGCCCAAAATTTTGGTTGTAAGCAAGATAGTTAAGTGAGTTTAGCCTCATTGTATGACTTTTTTTGCCACGGTTATTAAGCGAATTAGTACAATTGTTAAGTGAATCATGTTGTTAAGCAAATCTGCTTCCTCCATTGACTTAAGCTTGTTGAAAGCTGGTTATGAAAATTACAAATGGTGATTACATGTGTTAGGGTGTGTGTAAAAAGTATTTGTTGCTTGTGCAACGAGCAGAGCAGAAACACACAGGGAAGGAGATAAACGTGCAGCTCGTGTGAGAAAAATACTTTATATACAAGATAATAAGCAGTCTCGGTGTAGGTAAAACAGTCCAAGGTCATAAACAGTAATATCAGTCCAGTAAGTATCTTCCCTTACCAAAGCAAACAGACTTTAGTAACTCTCGGTATACAGTACCATATAACAATCCAGTCTAACACCAATCAGCAGAAAGACGCAGGAAGCAACAGGAACAATCAGGAACAAAGAACGCTTCTCTGCGCTGCTTATGTATGCACTGTAGCCTAATTACAGGGTTCAGCAAACCCTGATTACGTGGCTCAGTTGTTTCTTAAAGAAACATATATATTGCCTGACCAACAAGTTAGGAGTAAGCTACAAGCTGAACCTAACATTCTCCCCATTGGGCAGGACAATATACACAATAGATACAGAAACAAAGATACACATCCAAATCATACATTGTACAGTGGTATCAGTTACATTTCAGATTCTTAATCCAAATCTTTCACAACAATTGGTGTGTTTAATGGCACCTTGCGCTTTGGTAAAATTATCAGCAATTTTGTCCTCTGATGCGCAATATTCCAATGTAATCATGTTATCCTTAACACATTGCCGAACATTCAGATAACGTATATCAGTGTATTTAGTCCTTGTCTTTACAGCAAGATTCGTTGCCATTGTAATGGCTGCCTGGTTATCTTCATAAACCGTAATAGGATAGTCCATTTTGAATCCAATATCTTCCATCAACTGTTTATAATAAATCAGTTCAGTACATGTAAGTGATAGACAAGAAAACTCCGCTTCCATGGTAGACAAACTGATGTGTTTCTGGCGAATTGATCTCCATCCAATCAGGCAATTATCCAACATGATTGCTATTCCAGATGTAGATTTTCTGGCAAAACTGGCATCAGCATATGCCTTTAACACCATATTGGCATTTGGTTCTAAATACATAGCAAAATGTAATGTTCTTTTAAGATATCTAAGAATACATTTTGCAGCTTGCCAATGCCTATCAGTAGGCTCTGAACTATATTGTGCTAGTTGATTAACACTAAAAGTTATATCAGGCCGTGTCCAGTTGCTCAGATACGACAAACTGCCTATTGATGATTGATACAGTTCTTTACTGAACTGTGGACTCTGCAAACTATCCTGCTGGAATTCTTGTGTCATAGGAGTCTTGGCAGGTTTACATAATTCCATCCCATATTTTTTCAACAATTTGCAGATTTTATTAGATTGTGAAATTTTAAATCCTCTAGATGTTTTCAGGATATCCACTCCTAGATAATGCCGTATATGTCCTAGATTTCTAAGTTTAAATTTTGTTTGCAACTGACCGATAATCTCTCTGGCCTCAGCGTCAGTTCTGGTAATTATGGCAATGTCGTCTGTAAAGAGTAACAAGAATGAAACACATCCATCCTGTTCTTTTTTAAACAGACATTTATCTGCTACGCCCTCATAGAACCCAATGTTATGTAATTCCTGCACTATACATTGGTTCCACTCGTAACCTGATTGCCTTAAACCATATAGGCTTTTTTGTAGCCTCCAACACTCAGTGCTATCCTGTGTATCATAACCAGGAGGTTTCTTCATATATATTGTATGCCTCAACGGAGCGTTCAAGTAAGCTGCACCCTAATCACTGTGCCACTTCGGCTTAAAGACATTCATACCATACTGAACTCCATTTTCTCCGACATACAGTTCATGGGGGAAGAAACAGCTAGGCAATTACCATTTTTAGATGTACTTGTCAACAGACAACAGGATGGAAGCCTAGAAACCACTGTATATCGCAAGGCCACCAACACCCCACGCATTCTGAATTTCAACTGCAACCATCCACTGTCACACAAAAAGAGTTACATCAGCAAGCCAAACAGCTAAAGAGCAGGTAGCTACCTGAACAAGCAGTATCTACAATCATTCGTCACAAGATGTTTGCGTAACACGATGGGGAGAGAAAGGAAGAAACAAGGTACAAGACCAACCATATGGAACACCCTGCCATACATCAAAAACATTTCAGAAGCTGCAGAACGCAGCTTCCAAGATCTGCAAGTGAGCATCGCACACTGCCCAAAGGCTACCATACAAGGGCAAATTATGCATTGCAAAGATTGCTTGGAGGTGGAAGATACTTCCAATGTAATCTACCGAATTCCCTGCATAGATTGCCCCTGTGTAGGATAGACAGGGAGGAAGCTACCACCAGATTGCAAGAACACAAGTGAGCAGTCGGATGAGGAGACCCAAACTCATTGGTAGCCTCACACAGCAATGTACAAGGACAGACATTCAACGTTGCAGCTACTAAGATTGTTGGACAAGCAGGCACAAAAAACAGCCAGGGAAGTGATTGAAGCCTGGGAAACAGGCCCCACCAACCTATCAAGTACATAGAAGGCAAGGGCTTGGCAGCACAAACAAATAACAGCTAATGACTTAAAAGCCAGCCATCAACATCTAAAAAGCCACTTACAAAAGGCACTATAAAGACCAATCACAGAACAGCATACACTCTGTTAGAAATAAGTTCCCTGAAGATGGGCTCCAGCATGAGTCCAAAAGCTCAGAAGACAAAATGTCTGGTACCGGTGACCAACCCATATTGTATCCTGCAACTAAACAAATTGTAAGTTGAAGACTACCTTGTACATGGCACCTAAAAAAGCATCAGGGTTGCATCTTAAAATATTTAGAACATTTTTCGTGTGTGTGTAAGTAAAATGAAAATAAGAATGCTAGGCATCTTAATACTGGCTTGTTGATATGTGTCAGTTGGGTACTGAGGGACAAGGATATAAGTTTTAGAAATACAGGGAAGAATTAATATGTGGATTTTAAGAACAAGCAATATTTTCTGTGACTGCATTATATGCATTATAATCAGGATGGAGTTGATTTAAATCACTAGTAAAAAGGCTTGATTTAAATCAACTCGATTTAAATCATAATTTTTAAAGAGCAACTGTCATCTCTGCTACTCCTTTGACCCACTGTTGACTTACCAATAGTCCCAGTCTTGCAGAATATACAGCCTCATGCGACATAACGAAGCTCCATTTCATGCTGAATAAACTAAATTCTTTATGTATCTTAAATAGAAAACTATCTTACGATAGATTTTTACCCCAAAAGTTTTTTATTAAAATAAATTCGATAAAAAAAAAAAAATCCGATTTAAATCAAAAAAATCTGATTTTTTTGATTTTTTTAAAAAAATCATTGATTTTTATCCACCCTGATTATAATTATCAAAATTAGAAAGTTTTAGATTCACCAACTTTTCTTCCAGGTTTACATCTACCTACCACCTATATCTACTTTAGAATTCTTTGCGTCTGTATTTAAATCCAGAATTTATAATTTTATACATATATATGTGTCTGTCTGTCTATGTCTGTGTGATACATAGATATATAGATATAGTCTATAGATATATAGACTACCATTCTGTAGGTTTTAGCTAGGTTTTAGCTTTGTGTTATAACCAGAAATAAAACAATTTGTAATGTTTTGTGACAGAAAATTATGAAATGTTAAATTGTGTAGATAATTCAACAAAGCACTTTGCTTAAATCTCCCCTCTGGACCCATTCATGGAAGCAACTGTACCAAGTCTTTGGGGAGTTTTATTGTTTCATTGCTCTGAGGAGTGAAAAGCACCCTGAATGATTTGCATAAACCTAATCAGCAGCATCTGAAATTTGAAGTTAAGGTCCACACATAAAAAATAGATGTTCAGTATTTCTGAGCATTCGTTATATTAAGTAAGTAATGTTTTCTTATTTTTAAGAGCTTTTGGGTTGGCACATTTAAATAATTTATTGTATTAGCTATATATAACTTTTAATGCATTGTATTCAGCAGTATGGTTTATTATGAAGTGCTATTGATTATAGTTGATATTTAGGGGCCTCAAAGAATTATTAGTTGATCATAAATCTCAACTGATTGATTCATTATATGCATATGCATGATGCATCATTTGTTATATGCAAATGCATCATTCCATTTGGGAAAAAATGGTGCAGTAATATGTTACCTGTGTCATGCAAGAAGAATTCTTTTTCTGAGATGATAATTATTGTTTGAAAATTAGGAATTTTTTGTTTTGTAAAATTATGAATTTTATCTATTCTTGAAAAGTATTTCAAAAAAGAATACAGTTGGATCAAAATGGAAGCTGTTTTTAATTCAACTTTCCATTTTCAACAAAATAAAACAAATAGAATTGGGAATGCTGGACAGTTCTGATAATATATGAATTCTGATGTCACATTTTCTTTCACATCCTTTAACTCTGTAATTTTCTCTTCACAGCTATTATTTGAAGTATCACTAAATAATAGACCTGAATTTCTTTTTTAGACGGGAATCAGAAAGGAGAAATCATTCATTAGCTCGCCATGCAGATATTCTTGCTGCAGTAGAAACAAGGTTATCACTGCTAAACATGACATTTATGAAGTATGTGGATTCCAATCTCTGCTGCTTCATACCTGGAAAGGTAATGTTTAAAAAGGGCTATATTAAAAGTTAAGTAAATATAACTTAGCACTAAATTGTTTTGAGGATGTCAGTAACGAAGTTTAATGATCTCCTATTCAAATGTTGTGGCATTTGTTATTATCTATTCTTGTATAAGACTGCTTTTTCCTTTCTTATAACAAATGGGCTTACCTGGATGGAAAGTCATTAATCATGTAGTGTTTAAAGTAAAGAATGTATAAATATTGATTAAAATTGGTTTGCTTTCCAGATTTACTATGATATACTGTCCTCAGATTTACTATGCCTATAAATCAGATTAACATGCATGACCTTTAAATTGTTTTACAGATTATTTCTAGTACTTTTTCATTTGTTCTTAAATAATTAAAAAGTCGTTATAGAAAACCATATCCTTGTTGGAAAGTATGCTCATTTGATCTTGCTATAGCTAAGTCTCTATTTTTTCCATTTATTACTAGGTAATAGATGAAATTTATCGTGTGCTAAGATATGTAAACTCCACTAAAGCTCCTCAAAGAGCCCATGAAGTCCTTCAGGAGTTAAGGGACATTTCATCTATGGCAATGGAATATTTTGATGAGAAGATTGTTCCAATTCTAAAAAGAAAATTGCCTGGTTCAGATGTATCAGGACGTCTTATGACAGCAGCTCCAGGTACTGCTTTGAGTGTCTTATTCTGTTCAGCCAATAGGAAACTATACTAGTTTCATTGTTGAATTATTTGTTTACTCAATATAAAAATTGGCTTACTGCAGAGACTTTATGGCAAAAACAAAATGCATTTTCAAATGTTCTTGAGATGATTTCTTCTTGTGTATACTCAAGTGTTCTTTAAAAGTGACAGAAACACTTTAATGAACTTATGCAGAACATGTCTATACTGGTATTTTCCCAATCACTTTAATAAGCACCTGTCCAGCATACAAAAATAATTAATAATTTGGGGGGAAGCAGAAATATAACCAATTTTAATTAATTAGTAATTTTATATACAAAAATAAGTTCCCCATACAGAGTGTTAATTAAATGAGGCTGAAGAATAAATGTAAGAAGCCAAAGAGAACTTTAAAAATATGGCTTGGTTTGATTTAAAAGGGCTTGGTTGGATTAAGAATTGTTCAGGGCTTTTAATTAATTTAGTCTGACTAGGCTTCCAGTTAGAATTAGTAACACAAATTGGGTTTAGAGTCCCAGAATTTTGGGAGTTGAAACATAGCTTAAAGTTGCCAGGTTTCAAAAACACTGCTTTAGACAATGTATTTGTAGAGTGAAGAATCCATTCTGGGAAGTAGTTTGAGAAGATGGATTTTGGGAAATTCCATAAAAGATTACCGTGTTTTTCAGAGTATAAGACACACTGGAGTATAAGACGCACCTACCTTTTTTGGTAAGGAAAAGAAGAAAAAGAGATTTGCCTCTGCCTCTGAGCAATTTTGCCTTGTGGCAGCAAACAGCCTGTTTTACTTTCATTTTCGTTTTCAGCATAGCTTGATTAACACAAGAAAAAAACAAATCTGCTCCAGCAATTTACTTCTTTGCAGCAAGCAGCAGAGCCTTGTGCAAAACAGCTGAGAGCAAATTAGCTGAAAGTCAGGAGGCCGATCCAATCAACTTGTGCTAATTAGGCTGTGCTGAATCTGAAAGAGGCTGTTTTTTCTTGCTGTTTGCTTGCAAGGAGGTAACTGCTGCGAGGCAGAGGCCAAAGGGTGGGGGCCAGTGGGTGGGCAGGGCTACAATCGGTGTATAAGATGCACCTAAATTTTCACCCCCTTTTAGGGGGGAAAAGGTGCGTCTTATACTCTGAAAAATACAGTATTTTCAATTGAAAAGAAGCAAAATTATATTTGCAGTGACAGGGAGAACAGGAGAATGGATGATTAGTAATTTATATAGACTTTTGGAAATGATATGTAAAATAGTTATGACCTTGTTCTGAGCTCTTCTGAGAAAAGATCCAGATAGCTATACAATTAGGTATCCATATGACCAAAAAAATTGAAGGGATCATAGAAGCAGTAATGAAATTAATGCTCACAATGAGGACATGGTGAACTAAATATCCCTGAAGGAGTGGAAATAGTAGTATGGCAGAGACCAGTGAAATCTCTCTGGAGAAAAGAGGGGTTGTGAGATTGCCCACATAAACTTTGGGCAACTATCCCTCACAAGTAGATTGCAAGAAGTGAGGTTTCTGTGATCCACTAATGAGCTGAAAGGCTGGGAGTTGCAAGATATCAACTAAATTCATAGTTGTATGGTAGCCTATGTTTTTAAATCAGTCTTGGAATTATTACTTTACTGCTTTTCATATAGAACCTTTTTTCAATCCTTAATGAAAAAAATTGAAGTACAAGTTTAAGCGCTTAAAAAAATCCTTGTTTTGGAAATAAACATCAAAAGATAACCGATTTTTGAAACTTATAAATAGACTTAGTGTCCTGGTGGATTTGAAACAAGACTTTGAAATTAATAAAAAGAATCCTTCACATGGGAAATGGCTGTTGCTTTGAATTTTAAGGAGCTGGGGAGATAATACAGGACTTTGAAGGATGGACACTACAGGCAGCCAGAAGAAATAAAATATAACAATTAAAAGAGAAGATTGCTTAACTTTTGACTTTTGAACAGTATGGAGCAAAATATTTTAACATTGGCTGTATTGAAGGATAATTGTGAAAAATGGACTCAAATTAATTTTAAGAATCTCTACCATTGTAGGTAAATTATATATAAATGATGTTATGGAAGAAGAACAAGTTTAACTGAACAAAACTGAAATAGAAGTGAACATGAATTAAAAATGACAATCTAAAAGAATGATCTGGAAAAAGATGTTGTACCAGATATACAAAAGAAATTGGCTAACAGTTTAATAATGAAAAGGGACATGAGACACCAGACAAAAAAACCAGCTGTTAATAATGAAAAAGATATACAAATAAGAAATCAGAAGAGTGACTTGGATAATTTTTCTATATTGGACTTACAAATGAGACCTGTTAAACCTGTTGAAGTTTGAAAGATTTGGAGAGAAGGAATAAAGAATAAAAAGGAAATCAAGTGCCAGGATATTATATGAAAGGATTAAAGACCATGTTTGTTAAAAGTAAAAGGAAGGAATATAAAGTTGATTTATTTGATCAAAGTTAAACTTGATGTTGCTATTTCTGATCACCCTTAATATACTTCTGCTGACCAGGACTGAATGATAAGATTTTAAATTTGTTTATAGATAAAAGATGAGGTATAGAATTTCCTCACAACATTTGGCAGATCCTGCTCTCTTGCTTTTTATTTCCTGTTGGGATTAAGCAAGAGGATCATTAGCTTGGCTAGTCCATAAAGTGCAGTTAGACTAAATAAATACTATATTTTACTCACTCACCTCAAAATGTTTCCTTGTGATCATAGTTCCAGCTTTTCTGGGACAAGGGCTCCTTTGTAGTTGTATTTTCACGAGGTAAAATTTCTTACTCCTCTCTGTCTTTCTGAAAAGTTCCAGGAAAAGAATTTTAGGGTTTAAGTGAAACACAGATTACCATATTTTTTGGAGTACAAGACGCACTGGAGTATAAGACGCACCTTAGTTTTAGGGAAGAAAATAGGAAAAAAAAATTCTGCCTACCAGGTACCGTCCTTAGTCTTGTCAGCTCCAGCACATTAGTTCGCTGGTTTTGAGTGCGTGTGTGCGCTGGGTGGAGCACGGGCTTCACTCGCTAGCACCTCATAAGGGCTGAAAACAGCTTCTAAAACATAGCTGATCGTTGGAGAGAAAAGCAATGAGAAAAACAGGCAAGAAGCTCGGAAGATCGCTTCACTCGCTAGCGCCTCGTTAGGGTTGAAAAATAGCTTCGAAAAAGCTACATTTGGAGTATAAGATGCAACCAAATTTTCAGCCTCTTTTAAGGCTTATACTCCAAAAAATATTTTTGTTGAGGGTGGGAACCCTAATGAATGAAGTATTCTTATTTGTCTCCTTTTGCCTGCTTCCATGACAAATCAAAAACAATTTAATGAACTTCTGAATAATCTTTCCAAAATACATGGCAGTCAGTTATTAACTACTATAAAAACAGAATTCAGCCTAGCTAATATATTAGCTCTAATAGAAAACTTTAACATATATCAATGCCATAGAACTTAGTTTGATAAATTAGGAAAGTGTTTGCAATTCACTTTCTGAATAAGTGACTCCTATTAATATAGCACTATTACTTTTGATTCAAGATAGACATACTTTAGACCTCCACTGGTTGCATGATGTGGGTTAACAATAGAATATATTTTAAAATAAGATCACTAATGATTTTCATATAAAATCGTTAAGAGATATTTAGTTGATGAAGTTTAGAAAGTATAAAAGTTTAATTAATGTCCCCTTATGTTACTCATTGTTTATGCTTCATTGGTTTTTTTAAACAAATTACTGTTATTAATATAAAATGTACTTTTTGTCAAAAGATCTATTCCATATTTAGATTTAAATTAGATTTAAGGGAGATAACAAAATATTGCTAGTAATTAAATGAAAAAGGAAAGATTTAAAATTAATACTTTTGCAGTTTTTATTTTGTCTGTTTCAGTTCGAGAGTTCCAAATGCTTTGAAGTATTCTGAGTAGGATCTTTTCAGTAGAAAAGTTTGGCGTTCTGGACATTGAGAGATTAAATGCTTATTTACAGTACAAGAAAACCAATCAAAGAGAAAGGAATGTGAGCTAGATAGAATGTTTCAAATTTTCACAGTTCCAATCACATTTCCAGTAGCAGGACATCAATGCTGTACACTTTTGCACTTCATTACCTCCTTAGTTGTTACTCCAAATAGTTTCTCTGCAATTGGGATAACATTTAACCACAAAACTCTAGGGATGGGGATTGATTAGTGTTAGTACTATAAAAATTAGAATTTCATCAGTAATATAAAGTAGTACTTATTTTTGTAGAAGAGAGAGATAACCTCATTATTTGGCTACCACAAATGTTTTATGAAACCCCATGGGATTATGTATTCACGTATAAGCCAAATATACATGTCCCAGGATAATGTTGCAGGATCCAATCTGGATTGGTCACCAGGAGCAGAGATTTAGTCTTCCGAGCTTTCGGAATCATGCTGGAGCCCATCCTCAGAGAACTTCTCTCTCACCAGAAGGTGTTATGATGCTGATGTATTCACTTTGTAAATTTGATGTACAGTTTTTGAATTATGGGATTGAAAACAGATATTAAGCAGAAAACAATCTCTCTCTTCCTTTAGTTCCAGGTCCTTCTGCAGCTTTAACTACAATGCAACTCTTCTCCAAGCAAAACCCATCAAGGCAAGAGGTCACCAAACTTCAACAACAAATTAAAACTAATGGTGCAGGTGTGACTGTATTACGACGTGAAATTTCAGAGCTTCGCACCAAAGTGCAAGAGCAACAGAAACAACTCCAAGACCAGGATCAGAAACTGCTTGAGCAAACCCAAATCATAGGTGAGCAGAACGCCCGACTGGCAGAGCTTGAACGCAAATTGCGAGAAGTTATGGAAAGTGCAGTAGGAAATTCCTCCGGGTCAACACCAACTGAAGAGGCCCCTAGGAAACGGAAGAAGGCTACTGAATCAATAGGTTCACCTAGAAAGTCAAAACGCCTTCGAAATAATAAATAACTTTGGGATAAATGGCACTTCCAGGAGAACATACTGCTTTAATAGCTGAAGCGGGTTGTCTGGTCTGGATGCTGCAGTTTACAGCATATATCATCTAGGCTGCTGGGTTCTTCAGAATATCATAGCCTTGAACAACTTTCTCTCATTGCTGAGACATTACTTCACAACCCACCCAACAATCCCATTTCAGTTTGAGTGGGTCTGTTGCACAGGACAATTATACTTTGTCACAAATTTGTACCCACCAAGACCTAGTATATCATGTCCTTAAAAGTTTGCTTTCATTTTCTATGCAGAAAATGAGTATTCAAATGAAACCTACGTTTTTTTCAACAATTTCCTTAAATTAGTATTTCAAAATAAATTCAGGCTTAGTCATTGATAAAGTTAGAAATGATTAAACAACAGATGTCCTGTTGTCTTGAAAATACCCACTTTTAAACAATTGGGTGGGGGTGGGATGGGGGAGGCTGACTTTTTGTTGCAAGTGACCTTGTTTAGAACATCTGAAAAGTAGTTTATATGTGTGAGAGTCTACATAACAAGTAAGCTTAAGTATTGGCTATATATATTTTTGTAAATTTAACCAGCAAGGGATATCTCAGTCTAGTTTCCACAAATGCATACCCTACTTCTAAGCATTAGGAGCCATATTTTTTATCTTGCATGGAGAGATGCATGCATTGCTTAGTCAGCTTGGTAAAAGCATTTGCCTGGAATCACTGTTGAACAGTTGGCCTCTCCTATCTTTTGAAAGAACATGTGTTGGTTCCTCACCCATGACTGCATATATTTTGAACACAGCTTTTCTTATCTTTGGAGCTAGTTTGCCTGAATGCTACAAGGGAATATATAAGCCAAGCTATTTTGCTGCTTCTGCTTGCTTGTTGACTTAAAGCAGATTGCACGGTTTGGCTCCTTTTGCTCGTGGGTTTCTGATTATACATTACTGGTCCTGATTCAGTGATTGAAAGATCATTAAACTGGACATAATTTATTTGTTAATAGAGTACACAGGCTTGCCGAGTCATCATCCAAGTTTTATGTGTGTTGAGAAAAAGATCTTACTGTTATGTGGAAAGAACTCTCTGTAATCCTGTGTTCTAGCTGTCATTATCATAAAAAATACCTTGTTCAGATTTTAAAATAATTTGTTTTGCACCCCTTCTGTTTTGAAATTGAACTGGAAAAGCATGTTTTGCACTGTACAGTCTCTGGATTTGTCACTTTTAACAGCTTTCAAGTTATAATGTACAGTGTTTCCCAGTTATGTTTCTTTCTGAACCTGCAACAAATATTGTTATCCATGTTTTAATTTGATATTACTAAATAATGTAATTCTATTGCTTGACTGTTACATTTTGCCCTCAACCTGCTATAATTAATTTAGCTTTTTGATAATGTTGAAATTTGAAATGGGAATGGAAAAATGGATCTGATTGGTTACTCAAAAAGCTCTTCTTATGCGTTAATATTCTTAAAGTACCTGGGTTTAAAACAGATGGATTACTCATTTTTATTTGTCAATTAGATGAAAAAAGCTTTGCCAAGGATTTTTCTTGACTCTTTCTTTTAAAAAATCTGTTAATTTTAAATTTGGAATATGTATTCCCTAAAACAAAGTACTGCAAATTGTTGTCAAGAGTTTGGAGTGTTTAATTTTTTAAAAAAATTATATTGTTTTGCTACCTTAAGGCCATTTTGCAATGTGTATTTGTTTAATTTTAAATGGGAGCAGGCTATGTATCTTACCAGTGGGCATACCCTGAATTATTTCAGATAATATAATAATTTTGAAACATTCACTTGAGCATTTCTTAATTGATACATCTCAGTATATCACAAATTAGCAGTGGTATATTTAATTTTTAATTTATAAAGAATAATATGAATACAGTATTTTGAAAGTGAATATGTTCCTCTATACATCCACTGTTCATGCATTTTGATATTTATTTTTGTTTCATGGACTAGTCACGTCTCACAAGATATAGCGATGCCTTCAACCTGGATATCTTCTAGAGCAGTGTTCCTCAACCTTGGTAGCTTGAAGATGGGTAGCACTGGCTGGGGGATTCTGGCAGTTGAAGTCCACCCATCTTCAAGCTACCAAGGTTGAGAAACACTGCTCTAGAGAGTTATATTCATTGAGGAGGGAGGGAGTCATCAGTAATAACACATTATCTCCTGAATTATAGACAGTATTTGCTCGGGAATGTCAATGGGAAGATGCTGGTGGGTTTGTTTTCCATTTGTGGGTTTACCCTGCACATTTTTCAACACACTGGAAATAGAATGCTAGACCAAGTGGACATCTGGACTAATTTATCAGAGTTGTGCTTTCACTTTCCATATTAGTGGTTCCTAAGGAAGGGGAGAAGTATATTATCTTCCCTGCCTTTTTCCACAGAATAAACAGTATTTGGTACAATGCAACATGCTGATATTAGGGCATAAAAAGGTAGTTGTTTCCCCCTTCTATGTGAGAGTAAGATCAAGTTCATGAGTTATTACTGGAAAGTATAGTATGTGTTTATATTTGAATACATGCTTGCAAATGTTACTTTCCTACATATGGACCTTACTCACAAACTTTAAGGTATTATAGTTGTTTGCTGAATTTAATTCCTGCATCACTGATTGGATCCACATAATTTTTACACAGATACTACTAAAAGCAATTTGAGTCCCAGCTGTCTCATGCAAACTGTTGATTGCAAGATACACATGAATTAGCCAAGGTTAAGTACAGAGTGTAGCCTGTTCAGAAAGAGAATAACAAATATGTTCATACAGATATAGGAAAAAAAACTTTCACTAGATTTCTACTGGTTTCCCCTATTTTAAACTTTACTATTCATATGGGGATTGAGAATTAGAAGTTGACAGAGCAAGGATAAAATTTGTCAACAGCCAATTTGAATTGTAACTGTTTTACAATTTTAAAATGGTAGAATTTTAAAATTGTACCAGAAATTGTACTGTGCTGCCAAAGGAAAAGATATCCCTTCTAAATTTAGTGGCCTTAAGTAAAAGATGGCTGTCTAGGAAGGAGTCTACATCATGTGAATTTATATATACAAAATAGCATAAAGTAGGTAAAATAAAAACGTGCAGCTTAAGAAGCTTTGTCAGCAAAATCAGGAAAAACTCTACATATTTGTTTGGGATACAACTAGCAAAAGAGCTAGCAGAAACCATGTTCTTTTACATGTGCTGTAGCAGTAAAGATGTTTAGGTGTCTAGATCTCAGATTTCCATGCAGAGTGATAGTGTTCTTTGATTGACTGCCATCAAGTTGATATTGACTCTTAGCAACAACATAGATCAGTGGTCTCCAACCTTTCCAGCTTGGCAGACCAGCAGAGGTGGCAAGGGTGGGGTGGGGAGAGGGGATAGTTTTGCATGCTATTTTCCACAAATGCAGCTTTACAAACACACACTTGCCCATCACTTTCACAGCCCGGTTCCGAACAGGCTGTGGCCCAACACTGGGCTGAGGACTGTGGGTTGGGGAATTCTGATAGCTTTTTTCCATGATCTTCATAGTTTAAACCTTGCTTTGTCACTTTTTTCAAAACCCTCTAAAGAAATGTTTTAAAATAGCCCAACTCAAATAAACGTGATGGGTACTGCCCAGCAACCAGAGGACATGCTCGTAGCCAAAAGAGCCCAAGGGAAACTTGCCAGATCCCATCTCCTGACTGCATCATTGCCAATATTACAAATGAAGCATCATATATAACATGATAAAAGACTTGTAAAACATGCAAAAACTGCAACAGCTAAGGAGAGATGCCTCCTCCCAGGTAGCCTGGGGATGAGAAAAGGAAAATTTTATGACATTCTATTGCGGGCATGTGGGCATGATTAGTGGGATGAGTCTTCAGACAATCCTATCACCAAGCATATATCTCTGAAATTTCTGTGGAAAAAAATCAATCTTGAGTGTGGCTCAATAATCATTACTGAATTTGAAATTTAGCAAATCTAGTATCAAAATAAGCGGTGAAGGCTCCTTGATCGTATTATCTTCTGGAAGATCTGAATCATTTGGGGGGGAAAAACACGGAATACATTTTTCAGAGAAGAGATTTCCTCTTGATTTAATAAAATGATCTTCCAATTAAGTTGCAACTTATTTGTTTATCACATGGCACACGGGTAAAACACAAAACAGAATATAAAATCTGATATTTTAACAAGAAGATTACAAATAATTTTTTACTTCATTAGTTTGCAGCCAGGGAATCAGTGAAATGTCCATTATGGGCTCTATTTTGACACTCGCACTATGTATTGGATAATTTGTTTTTTGACCCTATGATCACAATTAAACAATGGTATTTTGCCCCACTTATAGAGGGCATCTGCATATCTACCATGACCAGAGTGAATTCGGTTCAGTGTTCAGCCTCATATGGCATGGGGCTAGTCAAATTCAGGTAGTTTTTCCAAGATGTAGGAAATCTTCGACATTGCGGGGAACAGTTTTCGATTCAGTGTTATTTCCACAAGTTGTGAGTATCGAAATCATCTTTTACAAACGCTTTAGCAGTAGAGATGGCTGAGTGTCTAGATCACAATCTGTTTTACTCTAAGCAGGCTATGTCATTCAGTTTTGGCAGCTAGAAATTATCAACAATCTTCAGGTATTCTTGAAGGAGGGCCTTGTTTTCATCTTGCTTCCAGAGGTGGTATATGACACAACAGGAAACCAATATATGGGATTAGATCATCCCACTAATGATGCACATTGATTCATACAATTGGGAGTCAATGTGATGCCATTAATGCCAAGGCATGTTTTGCACACTGGAAAGAGGATGGCTGTAAATGCTTCATACTGATAATGTATATTATTGCTGCACATTATTTTTCATCAGAGTATGTCCTCAAAAACTTCATTTGAGTGACACCATCTTAAAGACATTCCTTCTTTTCTCAGTGATGGGAAAGCCTCTTTTAAAGTATCACAACAGACTTATAAATCATGGACAGGAGAGACTTCTAGGGAGGTAAAAAAAGCCATAATGGCAGTCAAGGTGTCAACCTTTCCCCACTGACCCAAGACTGGCATGACTCCCACCCTACAAGAATTCTGCAAGTCTTTGAAAACAAGACTGTGTTTCCAAGCTTAGAATTAAGTTACCTGATGAGCCTCTGGCAGATTCTGTTTCATGTAACATTTGACCATCTCCCTCTCTCTCTCTCTCTCTCTCCCTCTCTCTCTCTCTCTCTGTCACATCTTTATCATTGCAGTCATTCAGTATGGATTGTTCTATGTAAAATCATCAGCACAGCCATGGTCTCATGATTTTTCATTTAGTGTCTGCTTTCCTTAATGACCAAGTTGCCCATTTCAATTGTAGTTGCTAAATGAGGACTACCTGAAGGAGCAAAAATACAAGCCTGTAATATTTTTTGTCATATCTTTAAAAAGTGGTGCTTTGTTTTTAGTTTTTTAAAATTATCCTGCCATTGCATGTAAATAAGAGATAAAATCACTATATATTGTGAAATATTTTAGATTTAGATTTTAGATTTTATTTGATTTATATACCGCCCTACTCCCGAAGGACTCAGGGCATTGAACAGCCACAGATAAAACACATAAATACAAAATTTAAAAGCAAAGTAAAACCAAATTTAAACAATTTGGCCCAAGACAGATTTAAAACACCCCAATAATTTAAAACAGATTAAAATTTACATTTTAAAAAGGGAAAAGGGGAAAAGATTAGGCCAGGCTAGCCTGATGGAATAAAAAGGTCTTAAGAGCGCGGCGGAAGGTGCGCAGATTCGGGATCCTCCGTATCTCTGAGGGGAGCTCATTCCAGATAGTAGGTGCCCCCACAGAGAAGGCTCTCCCCCTGGGGGCCGCCAGTCGACATTGTTTGGCCGACGACACCTGGAGGAGCCCCTCTCTATGAGAGCGTACCAGCCTGTGGGAGGCTATTGGTGGCAGCAGGCGGTCCCATAGGTAACCAGGTCCTAAGCCATGGAACACTCTAAAGGTGGTAACCAAAACCTTGAAGCGCACTTGGAAGACCACTGGGAGCCAGTGCAGCTCATGCAGGAGAGGTGTTACATGGGAGCGCCATGTCGCTCCCATAACCACCCGCGTGGCCGCACTCTGAGCCAGTTGGAGCCTCCGGGTGCTCGTCAAGGGGAGCCCCATGTAGAGAGCGTTGCAATAGTCCAGGCAGGAAGTGACGAGGGCATGAATGTCCATGAGTAAGAAGTCCCGATCCAGAAAGGGACGCAACTGGCGAATCAGACGAACCTGATGAAAAATCCTCCCGGTCACGGCCGTCAAATGCTCTTTGACGGCCTCTTTTCACAGCTGTGAATCCAGGAGGATGACCAAGTTGCGAGCCCTCTCCGTGGGGACCAACAATTTGCCCCCAATAGTCAGTGATGGCGCCAACTGACTATATTGGGATGTCGGATATATATATCTGTAGTGCTGCAATTTGTCAAGAATGTAAGAGGTTTCTGCTTGTGAATATACTATCAAGAAAGTGAATTTTCTTTCTGCTTGCTAGGAGAGGAAGCAGTTTGACTTTGAGCAAACCTTGGTATTATCACAATGTGACATTGAGACATTATGTGCTCTCACATATTGTGAAAAAGATGTCCAACATTTTTTATTAGTCTATGGAGAAGACCTTAGGGTGGATCAAGTGGCATTAATATTAATATCCCGTACTTATGGAACCGCCTTCTGCCACCAATTGCCTCCCATTGGCCAGTTCGCTCCCACAGAGAGGGCCTCCTCAGGATGCTGTCAGCCAGACAATGT